AATAGATTCTGACACAGAGAACACACTGAAGGTTGCTAGAGGGGAGGCGTTGTGGGGGATGGGTGAAAAAGGTAAAGCTATTAAGAATTACAGGTTGGTAGTTACAGAATAGTCATGGGGATATAAAGTACAGCATAGGGCATATAGTGAATAATAATGTAATAAGTATGTATGGTGCCAATTGGGTACTGGAAATACTGAGGGAAACATTTTGTAAAGTATATGGCTATCTAATCACTATGCTGTATACCTAATACAAAATAATATTGAATATAAATTGTAAATAAAAAAAAGAATTAAAAATTCTGGATGCATGGAGGGGATAATTTATACAACATATTTTCTCATTTGCCTTAGTGTAACATCTCTCATATTTAAAAAACAAGACAGAAAGCTATCCACCATCAGACCCATTCATCTATATATACCAATAATGAACAAATATGTAAATTGACCATCCCTCCACAACATCCACAGCCAATCAGGAGTATGCAAATTAACCTGACAAAGATGGCAGGCCTGTGGGCAGCGTACACGTGCGCAGGCGCCAAGCGGCCGGGGGCAGGGTGGGACACCCGCCTGCCATGTAGTCAGGGTGACACGGTGGGCGTCCCTAAGACCCCGCCCATTCCAAGCCTGTGGGCAATGTGCATACGTGCCAGCGCTGAGCAACCGGGGTCCCAGGGATGCCACTGGAGTGTCCAGGCCTGTCAGCCCAGCCTGGGGGCAGCTGGAGTTCCCAGTCCTTTTGGTTTCTGCAGCCCCTGGACTGGAAGCAGAAACCAAGATCACAGGGAGCACCAGGAATTCTGGGAATCATAGTTCTGGTGGCAGCCCCTGGCCTGGAAGTGGAAGCCCAGAGCGCAGGGGGAACCAGGAATGCTGGGAATCATAGTTTTGGTGGCAAACGCATTGCAGGATCTCCTAGACCAGTGATGGCGAACCTTTGGATCTTGGCATGTCAGCATTTTGAAAAACCCTAAATCCTGCAATTACCAGGAAATCTCCACCAATGGAGCAAAGAAAAAGAAAAAAGACCTCTATTATTTTGTGAGCACCAAACCAAATGGGTTGGGGGTCTCAGACAATTCACTCATATGATTGCAAAGACAGACAGAAACTCCCAAATTGGAGATGGCTCCCCTGAGTGATCCCAGATTGGAGAAGATGTAGATTGGGCTGAAGAACCCATCCCCTGTGCTTGAATTTCATGCACCAGGCCCCTAGTATATATATAAAAGCCTAATATGCAAGTTGTCCCCACGGGAGTTCGATCAGGAGACCAGGAGTTCAATTGCTCGCTATGACATGTGCTGATCGCCAGGGAGCAGTGAGGAATGAAGGAAGGCCCCACATGGCAGTCAGAAGGCCCTGATTGGCCCTGATTGCCGGCCAGGTCAAGGGGCCTAACCTGTGCACGAATTTCATGCACAGGGTCTCTAGTAATACTGTAATAGGTTTATTGTAGTTATCTGTTTATATATCTTTTCACTGGACTAAGATAGAATGTGAGTCCCATAAAGATGGGAACCAAATGACGATCTCTGATCTTCCTTTAAATTCTTCCTTCCTTCCTATCTTCAGTGTGCCCAGCCCTGCCCTGGACTCTGAGAATTCAGTGGTGACAGACAAATCAGACAAGTTTTCTGCTTCCCTAGAGTAAATATGCTAGTAGGGAAGAGAGATGAAGGAGACAAATGAAGAATGCATGAACAAGATACTCAGTGGTAAAGGCTATGAAAAGAATAAACGGGATCATGTGAAGGAGAGTGGAGTGGATTGGGCAAGAAGAACATCACTAAGGAAGTAATGTTTGAGCATATGGAGGCAATTTAACTTCATGGCTCTTTCAATGACTGAGCCTAACAGAGCAGTTTATTTGCTAATAGAGATGACCCAAAGAGAGAAAAAAAGGCTAATGCAGGATATTGAGAGAGTAGTGACAGGGATGGGGGGAGATGTCCTTAAGTATTTACACTCAGAGGGAGGGAGTGAATGCACTGTTGGAGTAACTGTCCTGTGTAGGAGTATGGTCACCTCACATGTCAACTCACAAGGGAAGCAGATAATGTGGGTTGTGTTGGGTTGACATATAAGGGGGTTTTGTCTGATGGTTTCTATTTATCATGTTGGGCAAGATAA